AGACAATCAGAATTATTGAAGAGACATTTTAGAAAAAGTCTGTTTAATAATTCTGATTGTCTGTAACATGGCTAATGCAGTAGCAGGCATCAGGGACCAAGGGATGAACATGACCTGGTTCATGCTTTTGACCTGGACTTGCCCACTCCAGTGAGCACTGGGCGCCTTCCCCAAGAGCAGTGGCTGCCCACACTCACTGGCCAGAGGCCGCTGTTGCTCGAGGCACTCTGCAATGGCATTTGGGGACTGTGAGACTTTCTGTAGAATACCCCAGGTGTCATAGCATTCAGGTTAAGGGTACCATGATTTGAGAGTGGATTCGATTTGGGGAGCAAGCAGGAGTCCTTGGGAACCGTGTCTGTGCATGATCATAAGTAAATGGAGCTGATTTTCCAAATGGTAATTATATTTGGTCTGAAAGACTTTCCTAGAGAGGAACTCTAAACAACATCATCTGTGGAATATGCAGCTAAACTCCCAAGGTTTCTACTTTGAAAATAGATTTTATAAATACTGTAGAAAGTCTATAATTTCTGGTGTTTTGTTAAAAAAAAAATTAGTAGCTTATGATAACTTTCTCTATATCAGAAGAAGTTTTCTCTTTCCTGCTATTTCCTTTCATTGAGCGGAGAAAGCACTTGTAAGTAGTCTGCATTTGGGGATGAATGGCATTTTTTTCAGAGGCAATATATGTCACCAAGATGACTGTTGACAAGACATCTGTATTAGCCCTTTTACAAAGAGACCTCGGCAGTCATGACGCACCCTCAGTGCAAAGATGCTGTGAGTTAGACTTTCTTTTCATTTTTCGCCCTTCTCACGTACCACAGAGGAAATATTTTGTGTAAAAATGTTCTTTTCTACACCTCGCACTTTTTACAGTGGCTACCGTAAAACAAAATGATACAGTTTTGCTGTGTCCCCACCCAAATCTCATCTTGAATTCCCACATATTGTGGGAGGGACCTGGTAGGAGGTAATTGCATCATGGGGGCAGGTCTTTCTTGTGCTGTTCTCGGGATCGTGAAGAAGTCTCACAAGATCTGATTGTATAAGGGGGTGTTTCCCTACACAAGCTCTCTTACCATCTGCTGCCATGTGAGACGTGCCTTTCACCTTCCACCGTGATTGTGAGGCTTCCCCAGCCACGTGGAACTGTAAGCCCATTAAACCTCTTTCTTTTGTAAATTGCCCATTCTTGGGTATGTCCTTATCAGCGGTGTGAAAATGGACTAATACACAGAACAATGGAAAATAACAAGTGTTGGAAGAATGTGGAGAAATTGGAACTCTTTTGTGCACTATTGGTGGGAATGTAAAATGGTACAGCCACAATAGAAAACCAGATGATGGTTCCTCAAAAACTCAAAACTAGAGTTACCATATGATCCCACTTCTGAACCCAAAAGAACTGAAATTCAAAATAATTGAAAGCAGAGACTCTGATATTTGAACACTCATGTTCATAGCAACATTATTCATGACAGCCAAAAGGTGGGAGTGACCTATATGTCCATCGATGGATGAATGGGTAAACAAATATGCTATATATGCACAAGGGAATATTACTCAGGCTTAAAAAGGAGGGAGATTGTGACGCATGCTATTACGTGGATGAACCTCAAGGACAAATACTGCATGATTCCACTTATGTGAGGTACTTACAGTAGTCGGATTCATAGAGACAAAGAATGGTGGTTGCCAGAGGCTGGGGAGAAGGGAGAATGGGGAGTTATTTCATGGGTGCAGAGTTTCAGTGTGGGATGACGGAAAAGTTTTGGAGGTGGATAGTGGTGATGGTTGCATGACAGTGTGAATTTAATTAACATTACTGAGCTTTACACTCAATGGTTAAGATAGTAAATTTTATGTTCATGTAGCACAATAAAAAAAATTCAGAGTAAAAATGTCCTGTTCTAACTAAACACATTGGAGAGGGATCCTAATTGCATGGGAGTGGTTCTGGGTGAGGATGCTGGGGGCATGGGCAGTGTCTTCATCCAGGGACAGAGAAAACAAGGTTTCGTCAGCCGCAGAGGCTGCTGGGCTCTGGATGAGGAATGCGATTGACCTCTTGCATAGCTGTTACCTGTTGCCAGCCCGGGAGCTTGAGCTTTCTTCTGCATTTTGGGCTGACGCCTTGAAGCTATGTGAGCAATCACAGTCCCTCTCACCTGCTGCCGTGGAGCTGCTGGACTGAACAGATCAGTGCATGTCCTGTCTTCTGGGTCCTCGCAGATGTTAAATTGAGGATCTCCTTCAAGGACGGGGGAGGCAACTCTGGAGTCGGGCAGGAAGCTGAGTTGGCCAGGAATCCTTGTTTAATGACTAGAGGTAAAGAGCTGCAATTCCCTAGGTTGAGATAATAACGGGCTGATGTTTTCACAAGGAGATTGGGTGCGAGGCAGCTGCCGCCCTGGAGAAGCTGTCCTTTCCTCCCACTGTAACCCGAGCTGAGGCTGCACGGGCCTGGCTGTGCTCAGGGGACACAGGCTTCCAGGTCCTGAGCTAGGACTGGCTAATGTGAGGGTTTCCTCCCGTTTAAGGTTCTTTTTTCACCTTCCGGGCTGTAACCAAGCCAGACCGTGTATTCTCCCAGACATTCCCTGACAAACAGGTGGCTAAGTGGCTGCTGTGGAGAATGTGAGGATGACGTCATGTCCAGTAGGAGCTGCTGAGCCAGAAGCAGTGGAAGCTGGGTTTTCTGCAGCTGTGGCTGGGACTAGAAGGGACCCCTGAGTGGACTGGGCCTGGGGCCACACGGAGCCCACACAGACGCCAGGGCTCAGGGGGCTTCAGCACCTAGGAGGGCTTCACCTTGGGCTCCACATCTGACCCAGAAAGCCGAGAACGCAGAGAACTCCTCCCTGGAGTCAAGAACTCCTCCTTGAGCCTGGGCCTGTGCTCCAGGTGAGAGTGCCTGAAAGGCACCACAGCAGACACAGCTGGCCCAAAGCTGTACCGCCAGGATTCCTCTGGCCAGACCTTCCCCTCCAGCGTAATACCATCTAACTCCTTGGGACACCCTTCCCTTCACCTTCTGCCAAGGGACCCTCTTGCCAGGCTTTGCTCGTGGTGAGGTCCCAGTAAGTATCCGTGGAACTTGGTGTTATGCTCCCAGGCTTCCAATGCTGGTGAGACCATGGCTGCTGGGTAGCTTGCAGGACCCCTTGAAAGGGTCTGGAAACGTCAGTCAATTAATGAAATAATTTATTGAGTCCCAACTGTATGCCTGGCTGTGAGTTATGCACAGGACGACCTGTGTAACTTGTGGTGCCCCCTGCAAAATGAAAACATGGGACCCCGCGACAGCAGAGCGTTAGCCCAGGGCATGGGTCAGACACCCACAAAGCCAGCCCTGTCATGCAGATCCACGTCAGCCTCGAGGAATGTACCTTGGAGTTTCAATGGATGTCGGGACTGGGAGCCGAGTCTAGCCCTCACTTTTTTCGTTCCTGAAGTGAACGCTACAGTCCCTGCTTGGCGGTTTGACATGAGTTGGCAGTGGGATGACATAAAAAGTGGATGCCCCTGATAATGAATGGAACAAAGCCAGGTTCCCTGGAGATAAAGCCGCCCCTGCAGGCAGGTGGCTTGCTGCTTCTCTTCTGAGAAAGGACCTTGAATGGGAAGGATAGAGATTCAGACTCAGCTGACCTTTTCAAGACAGGCCTCTGAGTGTAGCTCTCCCTCCCTGAGCTGAACACACCTCTTCCTCAGGTGAAGCAGTGGGTGGTGCCTCGGGGTCTGTCATTCGAGACTGCCTGTTTCCCCTCAGGGTGGCCATTAGATCGGAGAACGCGCGGAGGTGGAGTCCACCTCAGCCAGAGGGCTGGCTCTCTGCAAAATGGCGCCTGCCTTGGCCTTGGCCAGCAGCTTCATTTCTCTTCTGTCAGACTGAGGCCTGGGTCCCTTTCTCGCTTTGCCCAGCTGAGGCAGGCAATGGGGCAAAGCTTTAAACATATACTGTTCACAACTCTGAGAAACCCTGGAGCAAGGTCCTGGGCCAGCCTGGTCTTTGTATGAATGTGTGTGTGTGTGTGCGCACGTGTGCGGCTCAAAACACCAGAATTGGGAAGGGTGCTGAATGTTGGGCTGGGGCTAGATAGGTATTGGGCCAGTGAGAACATCTATGCCCCTAATTTTATTTGGTTTCCCCTCTGCCGGTGTTGCTTCTGTCGCCTATTCCTTCATCTTCTAAAATGGAGTCTGATGGAAAAATCGAGTCACTAGGCCTTTTCATCTCTTTATAATAATCCTCCATTTCCCTGAAAGTTCCTTTGGTTTTGGAGTGAGGTTATGAAACGTGTGGATCTCAAGCGTTCTTTGGGCCCTGAGAGAAGATGGGTGTGGGGCCTGGGAGGGGCCATGTCTGGGCCAGGTTGTGGCTCCTCACACGGCTCCCAGGCTGAGTCCTGCCCCAGCCAACCCTCCGTGGTCGACCCCTGACCATGGAACTTATAAAGAACCATAGGAATGCTCCAGCATTAGGAAAGAAGAGCCCAGACCCCTGACTTCCCCACAGGAAGCCAGATGAACCCCTTGTACCTGCAGAACCAGGGTTGGACCAGGTTTCAAGCATCTTTGCTGTCTCACTGGTCCACAGATGCCCACCCACCCAGGGGATCCTGGGGAGCTTTAAGGAATACAGTTTTTTAATCCTTCAACTTTTAAGTTCTGGGTTACGTGTGCAGGATGTGCAGGTTCTTTACATAGGTAAACATGAGCCATGGTGGTTTGCAGCACAGATCAACCCATCACCTAGGTATTAAGCCTGGCATCCTTTAGCTATTCTTCCTCATGCTCTCCCTCTCCCTGAGCCCCCTTCACCCGGCTGACCCTGGTGTGTGTGTACAACCATGTGTCCATGTGTTCTCATCATTCAGCTCCCACTTACAAGTGAGAACATGTAGTGTTTGCTTTCCTGTTCCTGCGTTAGTTTGCTGAGGATAATGGCCTCCAGCTCCATCCATGTCTCTGCAAAGAATATGATCTCATTCCTTTTTATGGCTGCGTAGTAGAGGAATACAGTTTTTAGAGGTGACTTTTTGTTGTCTTCTCGTTAAAGTGATGCATGGTCATTACAGCATCAAAAACCAGTTGCTGCCCAAGTAGAGTAGCTTGGGGAAGCCACTGCAGTTGGATGCTATTGTCTGAGAATTGTCTCTGATCAGTGACTTGGCAAACATCTTCCAAAACATTTTCAGCTGCTGAAAGGAGTCCTTCCAGCAACTGTTATGTATAGAATAGTTCATCTGTAAAAGAAGATTCTCATGTGGGGTAAGTGGACCTACCCCTGGGAAATGTGGATGGGTTACTGTTGCCAAACGCTGCTGTTTGTTATCATTCACTGTGGCCTGTGACCACTGGAACAATAACATTGCAGGATGACTACTTGAGGTTAATTGACAGTATTTTCTTCTTCCAGTCTTGGGGATACTGCATATACCTGATAATGGCTTTCTTTTTTTTTTTTAGGACAGATTTCTGTGTACACAAAGATGAACCGTGTGACACTGTTGGTAAGTTTAGAGTTGAAATAATAATCTAAGGGGCTGATACACCCTGGGAGAATCTGGAGACTTCTTGATCACAGTGGAGGAGCTGTCCTCAAACAAGCACTGCACATTCTGTTGCCTTCCTTCTTGTAAGTTGGTCTTTGACTTTCCTTTTGCTATTTTCCTGAAATGTTTTTAAGTGATTTATGGCAGAAGGCATTAGATGAAGAAGCTATGAAGAGTGACACCAAGGGGAAGAGCCACCAGGCTGTTCGAAGGGGTCTGCAGTTGGGGTTGCATTTGGCTCTGAGCATTTTGGTCACCCAGGCAGGAGAGGCAGCCTACCAAGTTACACAGCTGTGGTCATGAGATGGAAGCTTAGCAGTTTGTTCTCATGCATGCAAATGACCTTTATTGAGCTTTACCCTTTACCTTGGTGCCAGGCTCCTCGCTTTTTAGTGACTAAAGACAGCACTGAAAATGGCATACAGTGCTGAGAAAACCTCCTTTCCTTCTTCCCCTTCCCTTCCTCCTCTCCCTTTCCCTCTCTCACCTTCCCCTCCCCCCACCTTCCCCTCCCCCTCTACTTTCCCCTTCTCCTCCCCTCCCTGCCTCCCTTCCCTTCCCCTCCCCCTCTACCTTCCCCTCCCCCTCTACCTTCCCCTCCGACTCTAACTTTCCCTCCCTCACCTTCCCCTTCACCTGCCATTTTCCTTTGCCTCCTGTCCTCAGTTATGTCTGGTTTGCTCTTGACTTCTCATGGATTTCAAATGGAAACCATTCTTGAGTGTAGGAACACAGTGTTTGGTTAATACAGGCACAATGCCCAGAGTGTTTCCAGTTTTGCCTGCCATAACACAAACCTTTGTTCATCAGGAGGTCGAAATATAGTATTGCATTGCCAGAATCAAAATTGTGAATCGTGTGTGTTTAGAATTGTAAAATCGAAGAAAACAGTATAGGTGTGAAAAATATATAATGTTATGAAATTCACATGTTGAAAACCAGAGCTTCTTGTGGAGCCTCGGCAGTGAGTAATCCCAAGCCTTTGTTCTGGCTCTGCCACGTGCCAGCTGGGTGGCTTTGGGTGTGTCTCCACTCCGGTTTCTTAATCCATCAAATGATCATTTTGGATTAGGTGACTCACAAGACCCTTCAAAATCTAATGATAGCTACCATTCATGTCACATTTTAGAGTTTACAAAATGATTTTTAATATATTACACTTAATCGGTCCTCTAAACAGATCTGAGAGCAAGGTGTCAAGAAGCAACCAGCCAACTCCTCCTGCTTTGTTATTTGGGGGCTGTCTCCATGAGGGAATTGCTAGCCAAAGGCCATGTGAAGTATGCTTCCCTGGAGGGCTGGCTGACACAGGCCCAGGTCAGGTTGGGGCCATGGAGGCTTATGCAGACTGACCTCTGTCTGTCAACAGGGCTGCCAGACATGTGCCAGGCATGTGCTGTTTCTAGGAGTGGCTGCTCGTTCCCGAGGTTCATGGGTCAGGCATGGCCACAGTACCCCTGTCCAGGGCACCTCTGCTCCGTGCTCCTCCTGCTTCCTGGCTTGCCCCGTGGAGACACAATCTCAGTCGTGTAGCTCTTGCCTATACTTCTCCCCTGGAAGCCCCTGAGCAACACAGAGCCCAGCTCTGGCCTCCAGGCTATGTGTCCTTCAGCACCTGGCACTGGATTGAGAGGCTTGGTCACTCCTGTTGGTTGGTTGATTAAATGAAGAAGAACTGAATGAATGAATGAATGAATGCATGCATGCAGGTGAAGGGATTCCAATTCCAGTGTTTGTTAAAACCATGTATCCAATGGTGTGGTTTTCTTCCATAGGATTTATAACTAGCTTTCAGTTTCTTTTGAATATATAAAAGTTTTCTCTTTTGATGGGAATATGCCATTAATTGTGATTATATCCTGTGTTCAGGCCCCTGGTGAAGAGCAGGCAGCTGCTTCAAATCAAGCATCTTCTCCTTTCCTAAGCCACATCACCATACTACTTTTTATTGGTTTGCTTGGGCTGCCATAGCAAAATGCCACACAAACTGAGTGGCTTCAACAACAGAAATGTGTTGTCTCACAGATCTGGAGGCTAGAAGTCCTAGATCCAAGTGTCGGCAGATTTGGCCTCTCCTGAGGCCTCTCCCCTTGGCTGTAGCTGGCTGGCTGCCTTCTCCTGTGTCCTCTTGTGGCCTTTCCTCTGTGTGTGCACCTGCCTGTTGTCTCTCCTCCTTGCAAGGACACCAGTCATACTGGCCTAGAGCCCCACCTCTGTGACCTCATATAACCTTAATTAGCTTTTGTTGTTGTTGTTGAGATAGTCTTGCTCTGTTGTCCAGGCTGTAGTGCAGTGGCACGATCTTGGCTCACTGCAACCTCTGTCTCCTGGGTTCCAGCAATTCTCCTGCCTCAGCCTCCCGAGTAGGTGGGACTATAGGTGCCTGCCACCATGCCCAACTAATTTTTTTGTAATTTTAGTAGAGACGGGGTTTCGCTGTGTTTGCCAGGATGGTGTCGATCTCCTGATCTCATGATCCATCCGCCTCGGCCTTCCAGAGTGCTGGGATTACAGGCATGAGCCACCGTGCCCGGCCAGCCTTAATCGGCTTTGTAAAGGTCCTCTGTCTACCTATAGTCACATTGGAAGTTACGGTTTCTACATAAGAATTTTGTGGGGACACAAGTCAATCCATAGCACTATTCATTTGATACTTTGCCACATGTTACTAGGGAGCATCTTATGTCCTCATATCCCCTCCCAGGTGCATACGTCTCACTTCCTTAACAAGAAAGTCCTTTAATGGTCAGGACTGGGTGGAGTCATGTGACTGGGTGTTCTTCATGTGACAGCTGGTTAGCTGAGGGCAGAACCAGTCTATTTCCTGATCCCCACTGCATGTTCTTTCTAATACGTCAGTGATTTTCAGCTTCTGCAAAGGAGGAGGTGCCTTTTTTCTTTTTTAAAAAAATTAAACTTACATGGTGTTTTATTAGTATACATTTATTTTAATGTGTCATATTTTGCTTGTACAGATGATTAAACCAGTCAGAACAATGGGATGATTTGATGAACAGAAAAATATAAAAACTGGGGTTATGGCAGTCGTATATTGATCTCAGCATCCAATTTATTTATGGACTTTAAAATGTTTTTATTTTGAATAATTATACAGTCACGATAATTGCCAAAAGAGTACAGAGAGGTCTATTGTACCTATCACCCAGCTTTGTCCAGTGGCAACATCTGACGTAACTGCAGTGCACTCTCAGAACCAGGAAATAGATGGGCCTGATAGAGTGATCTAGACTACAGCTCTTAATCAGGTTTTACTGGTTTCTGCATGCACTCATCTTTTGGTATGCTTTCGTATAAAGTTCTGTGACGTCTTATTACATGGGCAGCTTTGTCCATCCACCATGACAATCAGGAACAGAAGGTTCCATGGCTGCTGAGATGCCCCCTCGGACTGCCTCTTGAGAGCCACCCCCTGCCACCCTCCGCTTCCCTAACTGCTGGCACCCGTTTATCTGTATTCCATGTCTATGATTTTCTCATCCCAATATCCAGTTGATTTTTCATATTTTGTTTTGATTGCACAGAATGGAAAAATCATCTGAGTCACATAGATGCATGCTTGCCAACGCTAAGAGATTTTCAACAGCTGCCTTGAAACTTCGGGATCCAGCTCGAGCTTGAGATGCTGTGTCTTGAGTTCTGTAGAAAAGGAGCTGTCTGGTACCTCGAGATAACTAGGAAAGCTTTGGGTTGCCAGCGTAGTGTAATTTGGTATATAACAGCGTTTTTTTTGTTGTTTTAATTAGGGTGCAGCTCACATATATGTAAAGAGGGCAAAGCTTGATGAATTTTTAATTTATGCCTATACTCTTCTTTTTTGGCTTAATCTGGTATTTCTTGAAATCGTTTTAAAGCAATATCTTGAATTCTGTTTTAAATCGTGCTTTTTTATACTGCGGTAAAATATACATAACATTTGCCACCAGAAAGCATTTTTAAGTGTACAATCAGTGGCATCCAGTACATCCACCTAGTTGTGCAGTCCTATGCCTCTACTCTTGAAACCACAACACAGATTGAGGTGAAGAATGTCATCAGCCCTCCAGAAGGTTCCTGATGGCCTAACCTCACCGTCAGGAGTCCCCCAAGGGTAACCTGTTCTTGTTAAGTGTTTTAATGAGTGTTTTTAAAATAGTTTAAAATAGATTTCAGAGCTCAGTTTGAATGAAGCACTGCAATAAACTTTGAGGCGCGGCGAGGGTTTGGGGCTTCCATGAAAAATACTCTTCTCTGCATCAACCCATTTGTCTCCATTGCCCAGTCTGCATTCCTGATTGTGAGGAATGAGCCAAGGGCACCTATCAGAAGGGGGCTGCCACCAGGCTGGGAGACTGGCTTGGAACACAGGCAGCACCTGGGGGAGCTCCGGAAGTGGGGAGGCCACTGACATCACATAGAAGTTAGTGGCAAGGCCTGTCTGGTCCATGTGCCACCACGGCTGGGGAGTGACCTCCATCTCCCCAAAACAGCCCAGGGTCCTGTGGTCTGCCCCTCCCCACCCCACCTGTACTGGAGTGAGGGAGATTCTGGCCTTTGGGCTTCCATAGGGGAGGCAACGGCACCTCCCATGAAGGTAAAGGTTCCCAAAGGGGATCACTGTGCTTTAGCCAGGCGGGAGAATGGATGCCAGACAGCCCAAGATGACCAGTGTCCACTGTACCCTTCATATCTTTTGGTGAAGATGAAACACAAGGTTTAGTATCTCTAGGCTTCACAGGGGTGCTAGTGATGTAGGCAAAGTTGGCGTTTCCAAAGCCCCGATTCTCCTGAGCCCTGCAGTGCAGAGGCCTCACCACACTCCTCTGTACTGGGTGGACTTGAGTGAGCAGATGAATGGGCATGCTTTTAAAAAGTCACACCGGGTCCAGGGGTGGTGGCTTATGCCTGTAATCCCATCACTTTGGGAGGCCAAGGTGAGCAGATCACCTGAGGTCAAGAGTTTGAGACCAGCCTGAATAACATGGTGAAACTCCATCTCTACTAAAAATACAAAATTTAGTTAGGCATGGTGGTGGGCACCTGTAATGCCAGCTGCTCAGGAGGCTGTGACAGGAGAATCACTAGAACCTGGGAGGTGGAGGTTGCAGTGAGCTGGGATCACACCACTGCACTCCAGCCTGAGCAACAGAGTGAGACTCTGTCTCAAAAAAAAAAAAAAAGGGTCACACCAGAAGGACCCTTCCTCCTTCCCTCCCTCCTGGCCCTGACATGGGCTTCTTAGGCTTCGTTGGAATGGGAAGGAGAGCAAGGATGACCCCTTGGGAATTCTGCTGATCTCCACCTTGGAGGAAGTCACTGTAAGGCAGGAGGATCTGGAACAAGCCACCATCCCCTCACTGAGTGGCCCCCACTCTGTGCATGTCAGACCTTCTCTTTGTGGGGTGTGCTCCTTTCCTCTGTTGAATTCTTCATCTGGAGCTGTCTGCTTTCCAGCCGCTGTTGTGACATAGGTGCTGTCCTGGGTGAGAAGAGGGAGGTGACAAGACAGGGACGTGGCGGAGGTAAGACCTCGGGAGGTCGTGCCTGCTCTTTGCATTTCTCTTCCAGATGCATGCCCTCTGGGCCTCTCTCTGGCAGTGGCTGAAGACAGCAGCCACTTCTCTCCAAGCCTGGCTGGGCAGGCGGGCATCTGAGTGATGCTCAGTGGATGTGGAGCTTTGGTTTTCTCCTACCTGTGCCTCCAAATTGAGCTATGGTGGGTTTTGTGCCAGTGTAAATCAAGCTAGTCTTCTTTTTTCCCCTTGCTTGGTCTCCTAATATTTTTTAATTAATGAAACGGCCTCCCTTTTCCTCGTCCAGTGAAGGGGAGGGACGATCCTACAGGAGGAAGTGGAGATGTTCCTCCGTTGCAGGCTGAAGGCCAGGTTGATGCTGTGGGGAAGCTTGGAGTCTGGTCTGTGCGCTGGGGCCCAGCGGCCGTGGCTTGAGAGACCCATGGCTTTCCCTGAACTTGGGGGGAAGGACCCCCTCCTCGTGTCACCCTTGGCACTGGTACCACAGTCTCTGATAGGTTTCGGTGGCCTGAGGGGAGCTTGGTAGACGTGCCCACTGCCCTTCCGGTGTGAGGAAGAGCGTGTGGGTGGAGGAAGTGAGGGTGGGGGATATTGCTGGCCAGGACAGTGGTGTTTGGGAACAAAGCATCGGTTTTGGAAATCTGTGTCAGGCCAGCCCACCAAGAGGCCACAAAACCAAGAGGAGCTGGGGAACTGGCAAGAGGTGAGGGGGAGTGGGTGTGGGTAATGGATGGTGTTGTGTGCTGGACCTGTTGAGTTTTTATTAACTGAATGTGTCAAAGAGGAAGAGAAGCTGTGAACCCTGTGATGTTATCAATTAGGTAAGAAAGAAATGCCTCTTTTTATGCATGAAAACAAACATATGAAAATGGACCCATCTGACTGTACTTCCTCCCTTCTGCATCAGTCACCCTGTAACCCTTCACTTAGCCCTGGCGTCCTTACTGGTTGGTGTGTAGAACCCTCTGGGGAATTTCCGTCCCAAGTGAGCCAACATTTTCTGTGTTATCGTGGTGGTGTTACGTCTTCATTCTGTGAGGGTGGTTTTCAGTTTTCAAAAAGAGGTGTTGAAAGTTTTGCTGGGTGAGGCTAGCAAGTCATGTTTGAGAGATACAAATAAAGTTTTACTGGCTAGACTACCTCTTGGGTTTCTTTGCTTCTTGGGGCTCTCCTATTTGCTTGTTCCACTGTATTGTTATTCGTCGTAAGCTGACAGAAGGCAAATTTCAATTGTGCTTTAAGATTCTGTGTTAGAAGTATAGTCTCCAGGCCAAGTGTCGTGGCTCATGCCTGTAATCCCAGCACTTTGGGAGGCCGAGGTGGGTGCATCACTTGAGGTCAAGAGTTCAAGACCAGCCCGGCCAACATGGCAAAACCCTGTCTCTACAAAAAACAAAAAATTAGCTGGGTGTGGTGGTGGATGCCTATAATCCAAGCTAC